AAGTTGCTGTTTTGTCTTTAGTCCTATTATGAAAGGATAAAAATCTTTTTATAAATTTAATTTCATCATCAATTCGTTCAACTGGCTTGCTATGGTCATAGTTGACACGTATAGTCTTGCTATCGTTTTCCGAAGTGTCCGGTTTGCTTTGAGGTTTTTGAGTTTGCGGTTTAGTTTGTGATTTCTTACTTGATTTTTTTGGCTTCTTTCCATTATCTTTTTTTTCGCTTTTTACTTCACTATATATTTTTTGCAAAGGGAATGAGAAGTTTACCTTTTTGCTTTTTAATCTCATCTATCTCTATTTTTCTGCTTTTGATTCGTGCGCTCAATTCTCCGCCACTTGCTCCCATTTGCCCACTGGCTAAACTTTCAAAGTCGTCGCCCCTTTCTACATAAGGACGAATAAAGCTTTTAGCGTATTGTCTTGCAATTGCTTCTGTAATGTTTTCTTTTAGGTGAAATATTAAGATGCTCGTTAAGGTAGTTTGAAATACTTCTCTACCTTTTCTCTGATCTCTTTGTCTTTGTCGTAGAGTTCCCAGGAGGTGTGATCGAGGAGTTGCCTTCCTGTGTGAAATGAAAAGCGTTTTTAAGGTTATTGGGAAATGAACTCACCCGTATGAATTTTAATTTTTGGAAATAATTCGACTTGTTAATCATGGCTAGAATTTTTTAGAATTTGAATTTTGATGCCTTTGCTTTCAGGGCTTTTAATTTGTCCTCGATGCTTAAATTTTCTTTGGTAAATTTTTCGGTATAGAGTTGATATATCTTTGCTGAAATAAAAGCGTCCGTGTTTTCTAAGGCTTGCAAATATGGCTTTTGCTCTTTCTCAGAAGGCTTCAAGCCATTCCTCAAGGGTCTTGTCGAACTGCGAGATCAGGTTTGCCAATTCATTTAGGCAGCTCTGAAATTTCAGCTTCGGCCTTAAACAGGTAATAAGTATATCGGGGAGAGTAATTCATTTAGTAAGATGATTTGCAATGTCTTCTATAGTCCGGTTAATGTCTCGTATAGCTTCCCTTTCAGAGGTCACGCCGCCGAAATAATACCTGTGTTGCGCCTGAGATTTTTGAGCGTAACCGGATTGCTCCAACAAAATTTCTATTTGCCTTGCGTTCATAGCATAACCAAGTCCTGCGGGAGCAGTAATATTGAAATTGTCAAAGGCAGCAATCACTCCCTTAAAACCATCAAAGCGCATAAAACGGGGATCTGAACTCATGAGGGCAACTACATTGCGGTCTAAAGTCTCATCATATTGTTTAATAGGAATAAGGCAAGCCCACATACTTCTGCCTCTCGCTTGTCAATGGCAGA